AAAAAATAAGCATTCAGTAATAGATCAACTCAAAGTAGCTTTCATCAACCACGAACTAGTGCTGAACGTCAAACATTATACAAAGCAAATAAGAACTTACGACAAAAAAATACAGAAACTCAAGAAGAAGAGTTTACATCATACATTACATTTGCCATCATGCATTAAATAAGTTCAATATTTTATGGTTTCTTTAAATATATGAAGTTTTCACTTCTGTCGAGCGTTCCGTGACGCACATCATTTTTTTTTATTTAGTTATTATATTTGCCTATCTATAGAAATCGCGCATACCAAATATCTGCCCTCAAATCGCAATAAGCAATTAAAGTTGTGACCGGAAGCTATTCATTTGAAACCACACTAAACGCGCGGGAATGGTCGTGACGTCATAGCGCTAGTCGTTCGATCGAAAGGCAATCCGGTAATACTGCTTGTCGTTGAATTGTCTGGGTGTTTGAATGTTTAGAATTCGTGCTGTGCTTTATTAATAATGGAAGCAATACAAAAACAATATTACAAATGCTGTATGGTGCCACTGTGTCCTAGTACAACTTTTAAAACGCCAGAAAAGCTGTTTATTTGTGTACCACGAGATAAAAGCCGGCGTTTAAAATGGTTAGAGGGCAAAGGTATACAAGGATATCTAAACGTTTTAACAACAATATCAAGACTGAGGTTGCATATTTACATGCTCCGCATTGAAGCCACCACGGCCGACTAGCTACTTGACGTCACAACTGGCCCCAGCCGATTCAAGAATGATTTGAATTCAATCGCTTATATTAATTACATAGAAATAAAAAAATAGTTTTTTGGTCAACTGCGGTGTTTTTAATAGTATTAAGTTATGTTTGCGAGTAATATTTTTTAAATTTAAATTTTGTGCAAGTTCCCCATTGCTCTTGATTATTCTGCATCGGTTTTTGATCCACATTCTTGAGCCAGAGGTAGTCGGGCGTTTTGCAAACTCAACAGAGAGTTTTTTTTGCAAAAATCTTGAAGCCAAATGTGGGCAGATGGTAAAACTGATAGAGGCATTGATGCAAACGCTCCATCTACTCTCATAGGTCATTAAAAATGTTCTAAGAAAAAATTGGAAATGTTTAGTCGCTGCATCAGTTTCCTATAATCCTACTGAAAAAATCTGAGCAGGCAACTAATTCTGCTGAATGACACCGAGCTGATTTAGTTCCCATCTATCCAGTCGACTTGTTGTTACATCCTGGCCCGCTTATTTATGGGCAATAGAATCAAAAACACCTGTGAAACTGGTTAAATTTAAGTGGCATACGATAAATAATCCGGCTAGATCCGTGCAGAAGGGACTCGTTTTAATAAATAGGAATTGTGAACGTCCGACGAGCGCTACATCACGGAAAGTGGCTGTTTATGTTAAGGATTATCCTGCAATTTATAGATATTAGCGTGCAGGCCTGCAAAAGCACGTCCGCAGCCTGCGAGATTGTTAATCGGCTACAGTCGACACCTGAGACCAATCCTGATGGCTGCAGGATTTGTTTCATCGTGCATTAAACTGCAGCTGCATCAGGCATGTCGAGCCTTTCTTCATTCGCGTGCTCTCTGCATTCATTTGGAGTGTCCTAAAGGTCCTCTTCTTCAATTACTTCAATCCGTTCAAGGAAGGGTTTTAATGCCTTTTCGTCTGTGTTTTTTTCATCCGTTAGTCCATTTTTCCACACTCGTTTACGGACTTCCAACACGTTCACTCGTTTGCACTGTGGATTCATTCCTATTGTTTATGAAATGTTTCCTCCCTCTCTTAAGGACATCCCACACCTCCAGTGTCGACACTTTCTTCGGCCGCTAGTGTTAGATAATTGGCACTAACCCCATTAGGAGGGGCGGTTTGTCCCCTGCAAATGGCTCCGATCTTTACGGGCCAACTGTGACCGGCATGTGTGGTTTGCAGACTTTAATAAGCCAAATCGTTAAGGAAATCGCCTAATTTTCCATCGGCGTTTTGTACTTTCCCTGCCTGAAGCAGCGCTCAAAAATCAGCTATTAAAAAGCGGCAATGTTCAGACAGATCGAATGGAACACGATCTAGTTAGTATCAGCCCGCAGCCCTTAACCCCGTTACAAATGAGCGGCGAACCTTATACGGGTTTTGCGACGCTAATTCGGTAGGTACCAGCAGTGTGGAAAAGAACTTTTCATTTTCGCATGCCGGAAAAACAAACGGGCGCCTCCATTTTCCGCCGCTATCGTCCTTTTGCATAACAAAGGAAAAATCGCTTCAATTTACATGTGGAGGTCTGCAGGTTGAAAGATCGTAACGTTTTTGATCCTCTTAGCGATTGTGTTCTTGCTACTGTGAGTTTCCCCGATCAGATGCAAAGGTGCAAGCACTAACAGAGGACGTTTCGGCTGTAAAGCATTGATGATGCCTTCGTGTGGTTGCAAAAGTTGGAAATCCACCTATCAAGTGCAGGGGAAAATGAGCGCCCCCGAGGCCCCATTCAGCCCCCGTACCGCAGTGTTTGCTCGTGGCAGCGGAACGCTTTGCGCGATTTTCGCATTATGATGTTACGTGCGTGATTTTGACAGATTAATTATTATTTTAGTTTTGTTTTCGTGCCGTATTGGCCGGCCCCGGCTTTTCAGCTGGATTTTTATCCGGAGCGCTCGTCATCCCTGTTCAACACACAAATAATGAATTTATTGTTCGGGAATATGCAGTGCAATGTGGGCAGATAACATGCCGCAAATTCAGTTTCGATTAGAGAAGGAACTTTTCAGCGTTGGTGCCGATGGCAGTTTAATGTTTTGTTCAATGGCCGAACAGCTTTCTGCCCCCCGAACCAACTTCAATAGTGGGTTGAACCTTGGCAATAGTGGGAGTGTTCCGTTAAATTGGTCAGCCGGCAACACTGCATGGTATGCTTTTAACTTAAAAAAATGTCCTCCCCATGGTTTTACGGAATTTTACCTTTATAATAATGAATGTGCGATTTGTGGACGATCTATGTAAAGCACGCAAGTCTAAAACTTCTTGACATCACGACTTTTTTGAGAAAACTGCCAACATCTCCTTATCGATGGTTTCACGGTTTTGCATCTCAACAAAAAAACACGCAAATCGAAAACTTCCTGAAACGAAGACTTTTTTGGGAAAACTGCCAACATTTCCTTATCGATGGTTCACTTTCTTAAA